GACTCCGGCCCCTCGGCGGCCCCTTGCCCCGGGGCGCGCCCGTGGCGAGGGATGGGCACCCCGGGGCGCCTGCCCGCTCCCTTCCTCCCTCCGGCGGGCTCGGCTTTGGCGCAGCGCTTCCCGCGGCGGAACAGCAGCCGGCGGCTGGGGGAGCTCGGGGCGCTGCGCCGCGGGGCGCTAATGGCACCGGGCGCCCCAGCTCCAGGGGCCCGGACGCGCCCCGGGGAGGCTCCCGCTAGGCGGGCTCAGGTGCCCCCACGCCCCGATCCTCGCCCCCCCCCCCCAAACTTAGTTGGGTCCTGCCGCCCCCGGGGCCTCCCACCTGCGCCCCCCGCGCCTGCTTGGCTGCGTTCCGCCGCTGTCCCCTTGACCTTGGGGGCCGGGGATGTGGTCTGGGGGGGCCGGGGCCAGAGGGACAAAGGTCGGAGCCTGCCCGTCCATCGGGGCGAGCTGAGCACACAAACCCTGGCGGCTGATCTGGTTCCTCTGCTCCTAGCCCGGGCAAGGAGGGAGACAGCGGAGCCTGATGCGCAAACTTCCCTCGGCGGGTGGGGATGCGGGAGGGTGGGTGGGGGTCTGGCCACAGCCTCAGTGCTCAGGGGGCGCTGGGCTGTGCTTCCCGCATCACTGCCAGGCGCAGGGGTGGATTCCCACCCCAAGGTTGCCTTAACACGTCCTCTCCAGCCTAGTGCGCTCAGGTCAAAAGCAAAATCCTCCAGGAGGCTGCGGAGAGGAGGACGCTTGCTGTGTGTGTAGGTGTGTTGTGTGTGTAATGGCTAAGGAAAGTTAAAATGTCAGAGGCTTTGGAGGGGTCTGCTATTCCATTTCCCAAAGCTGCAGTCAGACAGATGCACCCACAGAGGCGCTGCTGAGCTTCTGTCTGTCGCCGGCTGCGTTCGTCCCCTCTCCAGAAAGCCCCCCAAACACGCACGCACGCTCCGGGATGGACGTGGCCCTTCTGATGAGTTACTCAGAACTTCTCCTGAGTTTCTCTCCAGCTAGAATGTATGTGAGCATAACTTTCCCTTGTCTGCACATCTGCTGGCTTTCAGTCGCCACACAATCTCCCCCAACGCAGCTGGGGAGATCAAGGTCTAAAGTTGACCAGTTTCTCTACCCAAACAATTACAAAACCCATTTCTGCCAGAATTTATTTGTGCACCCTTCAGTTTTAAAGGGGCACTGTCAACTGTACATATGACACTCCAGTTTCCAGCACCCTCCAGAATGTTGTGTATCTCTCTCTTTCTCTGTACATTCCTTTAAAAATATCTCGGGTTTTTTCCTGTTTTCCCCATTCCTGTCTTATGAGAATCTTTGTTGCAGGGAAGTAGCTGACTAGTGGAAATAATGAAATTGACTGAGCACAAAATGCTGTCAAATGCACAAGCTGGTGTGTGTGTGTGGGTGGGGGGGGCGAAGTGGATGTATGTAGAGCAGAACTATTTTTTAAAAAACTTCTTTTGCTTAGTGTTACTCGTTACTTTAGTAGCTATAAAATTTTCAGCCAGATGTGATGGTTTTTATTTAAATAACCAAGTCCAAAAAGGTACCACTAAGTGGGGAGATACATATATTAAAAGCGTACTTTGGTATCTCTTATTCCAGAAAAGTGAGCAAATGGAATATTTTGGAGGCCCTTGCTGCTGGCTTTTCTGTTCATTTTGTTAGTTAAGCCTATGTCTTCATAGCTATTAAAGTTGAAAAGCTGTGACACTGACCTTCTGATGCAATTTGTATTGTGGACCACTTACAGGATGCATGAGAAGAGTAAAATCCATTTTCTGGAAGCTTTCTAGTAACTTTCAATTCTCTTTTAAAATACTCACAAGGACACAAGCAAATAGTCCGTATACGCCAATCACCTCCAGTAACTTATCAGATGATAAAATGATTTCAAGAAAAAATAAAATAAGCCAGAGTGAGTTAAAACCTCCATCTGTTTGAAATTCTGCAGCTCTTGAGGAAAAAACATTTATCTTCTTTGTATTGATTTCTTCTCTTTCATTTCAATGAGAGTGGGGCCTTCTCTCTGGTTCTGATGTATATTATACAGTAATTACATCTAGAAAGCAGGCTCTAAGAACAATTTAGGAAAACAAGCTCTGATGTAGGTTTAATATTACAATATTGTAAGAAGAACTGATTTATATCCATGGAGTTAAAACTAGATAATATTTACATTATGGGTTGATGTAGATATATGCTCTGTGTTTGCATACCCATGTTCATGTACTGTGTATAGCTAAATGATTTAACATTAGTAACTGAGAAATAGCTTTATAATACTTACAGATGCTGTTCAACATGGGGCTTTGCTTGGAAAACAAAGTATTTTCTTATGAAGGCTTTTGTGGCTGTAGTTCGTGACACTGCTACCATGTTAGGCCTCGCTGATTTCATTATTGTAGGTTTTCTTCCAAACAGTGATCACAGTTGTGGGTTGGGCAAGTTAGAACATTAAGACAAATAAGGACACTGTAGCCTTCTCTACTGTGACCCGGTACATGAGAAGTGCCAGAGGCAGGAAGGCTGCAGCGAGCGCCTCAGGGGACTAAAACAGGACATCAGTGTTGACAACACCAAATGGCAAATTGTCAAAATTGTGTTAATGGGGAATCCCTGCCAAAAATTAACTATTTAGCATCTGAAACAAAATCTACTTAATTTATTTTTAAAACCTGAATTAAGAAGCTTAGCGAATGCAGATGGATGTTTTTTATGTAGAAAAACTTTATTCCCAGCTGCCTTTAAACAAGAGATACAGATCGCTACTTTGTCTCTTCCCCCTCTCCTTCCCCAATCGCTTTCATTAGTGAAGCAACATAAAACAGACAATTTAACATTGTAAAATAAAGCATGAGGTCATCTAGAAAATAAACCCTTTCACCTTTAGCAGTCCTCTAACAGACTTGTAATGAATTTTTACCTTTGTATAAATATCTTGTTCTCTACTCCATCAGTAACAATGAGGAAAATATATTGGGAGCTTTTGTTCTTCCTGCACTAGCACTTCAGTACATTTAACTGTGAACTTGTCACTGGTAATTGCGATGGTTAATAAATCCAACTAAGATAAAGTAAAAACAATTGTTGCTATGGGGTCTGCTCACTCATGCAGCTAAATTCATTGTGTTAATGAGTAAGAAAAGGCCTAAATATTAATAATACAATAGCATCCTTAATAATCTGCTTCCCTGAGGTAAGGAATGTTTGTGTTCTGTTCTGCATTTTGTGACTAGTATAGTACCTGGCATCTATGGAGCTAGAAACTTGTTTCAGTTTTCCTAGGAGAAATATGTAAAAGGTGGATTTAACAAAAAAAAAAATCTAAATGACCGAATTGGCTAACAAATGTAGTTCAGTATTGACCTAGCATATATCAGCCTCCAACTTTTTTTAAAGGCATGATATGATGTTGGTGGCTTTTAGTTCTTCACTCTTCAAGTATGAAGACTATAATTTCTTTAGGGGGGAGGGAGAAATCTTTAGTATTGTTTGTCTGTTTCCTAGGAGCGTGTGCCTTTGAGCTAATCAAATGCCACTTTCAAAATCTTTAAAGGTGCTGAATAAGACTGGCCTTGTTTATCCAAGATTTTCTAGAGCAAGGTGTGTACTCCTGCACTTCCCTTTCATAGAGAAATATGGAATGTACAGGAGAGGGCTCTCCAAGACTTTATTTAGTCCTATGGCTTTTATGAAGATGACACGTCTTACATTTTAATTATTCTCTTATTTTTCAATGCCTTTTTAAATATGCTTTATGTTCCAGGAAGTGGCTAATGGAGTCCTTGCTGCTAAAGAATGTCAAATACTCCTCTCTCCTTTTTTCCTGTGCACTGGGAGCTGAGCTTGCTGGTATGCTTCTGAAGAGAAAAATAAGGAAGATCTTTGATACTGTTTGCAGACTTATGGAAACTGATTCACAGCTAACAGTGCCAGGACAGAGCTTTGTAAACTCTAAGTGATGCTGGAAGCTGAGTAGATGAACAGCTACAGCAAGTGTGATATATTTTTTGGGGGTGGGAGGGAAGGGGAGCTCAGTCAATTCAAAGGGGATTGGGGAGAGTAATCCATTTTCAGAGGCTAGACTAGAATCTGGATATCTGAGAAACCTAGTGGTGGTGCAGCAACTTTCTGTTTGTCTGAGATTTATAGATTCTATAGAGCCATTCATTGTTCTCGCCTAGTGGGATCAGGCCCTATTCTGGGTCTTCTGTTTTTTAAGGGTGAAGAAGTGAGGTAGCATCCTGTGTGTGCTTCTCCCCCCTTCTCTTCACTATGTTACAGAAAACTGGTGCAAATAGCTTTCTAGCACATTTTGGGAAAAGAGGAGCCTTTACTCAGAACTAACGAAGGATTTGCATAATCTAGCATAGAGACTTGGTGTTGTTCATCAGCTAGTCTGTACAGTAGCTTCTGATTGTCTTGCTGAGAGCTGCTGTTGACAACTCAGCCAGGACCTACTTGTCCAAGTCCCATTGTCCGTTCTATTCTCCTTGAAAAGGTGGTGGAGCAGTGCAGTTCAGCATCTCCTAAGAAATCTCACTGTCCAGGAATATGATGTGGCCTCTGTTAGGAGTGTCCACTTTCTGTCAGCAGCATGGGGCTGAAATCCTGGGTTCATTGACTTGTAATGAGTCAATGACTCTTAATAGGGCTAGAATTTCACCTGGGGTGTTTTTCTCCAACACTTTCCTTACATACATAATTAAAGCCTTACACTTAATTTAAAAAAAAGTAACATGAATAGTTTTCATTGTCTATGCAGTTATAGAAAATACGATGAAGATCCTATCCCTGTTCTGATCAGCGTTTAAGGACTAACATGCTGGTAGCTTTTGGAAAGAAAGCATTGTTAAGTTTGACTCTAATTTAAATGTTGAGTTTTATGGTTAAATTAAAAAAAAGTTTCAAACTATTAATCTCCACTATCTTTGGAACAAATGCTAATCTCTTGGTGGCTGCTTTTTAGCAGCCAGTCGAACATGTGGCGTGATGTGCTTGGAAGCCTAAGGGTATAGTAATAAAATTGCACTTTATCCAGTATATAACCTTAATATGAGGAATTATGAGAGAATGAGACTAATTTCTGTTTGCTTTTAAGTTACTGTATTTTAATTTTATTACAAAACATACATCATAGTTGCTGTTACTTTCTGACTGAATTGTGATTCTTTATACTCTCACGTGGCAGCAAGAAGTCATTTTTAAGGCTTAATTATACAGTGCTCTTAAATATTTCAGTCAATTTGTTCTGCTGTCAGGGAGCCGAATCCTGAACCCCTAGAGCCATTTGTTAAAAGGTATTTAGGCTCCTAGTGGGATTTTTTTCAAGTGCCTAAAATCCCAGTAGGCACTTAACCACGTCTTCAGGTGCACAGGTTTAAAAAGTAAGGGCCATACTTTTAACTCAAGCAAACTGCCATTTACTTTTTGTCTGAGTAAATCTGCAGGCTTTATTTTCTTTACATAATACTGACCTGGGTGTAACTCCATTGACTTAAGTGAGAGTCACTCCACTTGACATTGACATCTGCATCTCTCTGGGAATGTTTGGGAGGCCAAGTCTAGGAGGAAAATATAAATTATTGTGTGTCCTGCTCAGACTGCATTTCTGTACTAATGAGGGG